GCTGGTTTTGGGCCTCAGTGGGCTGTAGGTTGACATAGGTCCATTTTAGGAATACGAAAAGTTCGCAAGGAGTTTTCTACAAGTTTTTTTTTCAAAATCGCCCAACAATTGGCTGCGTATATTGAAAATTGGAAGCGGGCCTCAGGGGGTTTCGGGCTCGATTCAAGCAAGGGACGATTTCGCATTTTGTCGGCAGGTAAAAAAGTTGGATAGTAGAGTAAAGATTGACAGGCAAAGTGATAGAAAGAAATAGAGAGAGAGAGAGAGAGAGAGAGAGAGAGAGAGAGAGAGAGAGAGAGAGTCAGAATGAAAATTTTCGAAAAACTGAATAAAACGAACATCCGCTGACAGTATGACGAGTAAAATAAAAAAAAAAAGTAAAAAGACAAACAGGATACATATGGACGCAATATGATTTTATAGTAGCGCGATCCAATCTAGGGGTTGTCAAATATACCGGGTGGTCGTGTTCAAATATTCGCCGACAAAAATTTCGTACTTTTTAATGTGCTAATATTTTTTCATTATTTTTTGGAATGTTTCCTCGACGTTTTTTGGCCGTTTCCATTAAAAAAAAAAAAAAAAAAATTATTGAAACTGACGCGTCTAATCCGTCGATGTCTCCGCCGCGAAATAATACGTGTAAAGCGTGCGCCCAATACTATATTATTTATACGTAATTAATTATGCGCTCGCAAATTAACAAAACTACAGCATCGAAGCTACGTAACCCGTGGTGAATCGTTCGTATCGAAATTGTCGCACTGTTAAAGCAAAGGAAAACGAAAATTATATCAACATACCATACATCGACAAAATATTTATTGCCAATATATAATCCGCATATTTAAAATGTTCAGTGCGCTTTCTTGGACACGAACGGCTCCATGGGAAAAGCGTGAAAAATTTGCGCAGGGCCGTAGCTATACGTATGGGTCGGGTCAGGTCAGGTCAGATACGCATAACGATGGGTATAGGAAGGCACTGACGGATAATCGAAAAAAAGAGAATTAAGGGGAACTATAATCGTGACAAAATAAAAAAGATATACAAGCAAACTGCTTATCTTTCGAGCTTTCTTGCAATTACGCTAAATATTATTATTATCATTATTACGGCAGTTCATTTATGAGAAACCAAAAAAGAAAAAAAAAAATCCTGCGAGCGTCCGAAGACAATATATAACGTCTACAGAATTGTTGCATCGCTACCATACCGCTTCACAAAAATATTAGTGATTAATTTTTCAAAAAAAAAAAAAAAAAAAAAAAAAATTTTTGA